TGTGGAAATTATTGAACAATATTATATTATTAATTAACTATTAATATTATTATTTTACCTACAAGTAAAATCTTACTGAAGATAATTCAAAAGTGATTGTGGCAATATATTGACAGAGAATTTCTAGAAATGCAAGCTGGATTCAGAAGAGGACATGGAATGAGGATATCATTACTGATGTTAGATGGATCCTGGCTGAGAGAAAAGAATACCAGAAAGATGTTTACTTGTGTTTTATTGACTATGCAAAAGCATTCAATTGTGTGGATTGTAACGAATTGTGCAAAGAATTATTAAGAAGAATGGGAATCCCAGAACATTGGATTGTACTCATGAGGAACCTGTACATAGATCAGGAGGCTGTTGTTTGAACAGAACAAGAGGATACTGCATGGATTAAAATCAATAAGGGAGCATGTCAGGGTTGTATCCTTTCACCATACTTATTCAATTTGTATGCTGAGCAAATAATATGAGAAGCTGGACTATATGAAGAAGAATGTAGCATCAGGATTGGAGGAAGACTCATTAGCAACCTACAATACACAAATGACACAATTTTGCTTGCTGAAAGTGAGGATGACTTGAAGCACCTACTGAAAAAGATTGAAGACTATAGTCTGCAGTATGGATTACATCTCAATATATAGAAAAGAAAAATCCTCACAACTGGACCAATAAGCAGCATCATGATAAATGGAGAAACTACTGAAGTTATCAAGGACTTCACACTACTTGGTCCTACAATCAACAGCGATTGGATCAGCAGTCAAGACATTGGATGATATATTGCATTGGGCAAATCTGCTCCAAAAGACCTCTTTCAAGTTTTGAAGAGCAAAGATGTCTCCTTGAGGACTAAAGGGCACCTACCCCAAGCCATTGTATTTCCAATTGCCTCTTTGCATGGGAGAGCTGGACAGTAAATAAGGAAGACTGAAGAAGTGTTGATACTTTTGAGTTTTGTTGTTGGCAAAGAATGCTGAGAGTACCATGGACCACTAAAAGAACAAACAAATCTGTCCTGGAGGAAGTGCAGCCAGAATGCTCCTTGGAAGTGAGAATGGCCAGACTTCATCTCACCTACCTTGGTCATGTTGTCAGAAGGAACCATTCACTGGAGAAGGATTTCATACTTGGTAAAGTGGATGGTCAACAAAAAATAGAAAGGCCCTCAAGGAGATGTATTGACACAATGGCTGCAACAACAGTCTCAGGTACAGCAAGGATCATGAGGATGGCATAGGACCGGGAAGTGTTTTGTTTTGTTGTATATAAATTCACTATGAGTCAGAGATGACTTGAGGGCACCAAACAACAACAAAGAATGAAATAGAATACTTAAAGATAAATATCTTAGACATCAGTGAGCTGAAATGGACTTGTATTGCCCATTTTATATTGTGTAGTCATATAATCTACTATGCCAGGAATGACAAATTAAAGATGAATGGTGTCTCATTCAAAAAAAAAAAAAAAAAAAAAAAAAAATCAAGATCTATTCTGAAGTACAATCCTGTCAGTATAAGATATCCATATGACTACAAGGACGTACACTTATTATGAATATTGTTCAAAAATTTAGGCCCCAACAAATGGCAAAGATGAAGAAACTGAACATTTTTACCAACATCCGCAGTCTGAAATTGATCAAACATGTTATCAAGATGTATTGATAATTACTGGTGATTGAAATGTGACAATTGGAAACAAGGAAGGATAAATAACTGGAAAAGATAGCTTTAGTGGTGTAAATGATGTTGAAGATTGGATGGTAGAATTTTGCAAAATTAATGGCTTGTTCATTGCAAACAACTTTTTCAACATAAACTATATACATGGACGTGGCCTAATAGAATACATAGGAATCAAACCAACTACATCTGTGGACAGAGTCAATGGAGAAATTCAGTATCATCAGTCAGTGCAATGGCGGGCCTTCTGTCAAACAGACCATCAATTGCTCTTAACAAATTCAAGTTGAAGCTACAGAATATTAAAACAAGTCCACAAGAGCAGAAATATAACATTGAGTATACCACACTTCAATATAGAGGCTATCTCAAGAACAGATTTGAACACTAATGACCAAAGACCACATGACTTGTGGGATGTCATCAAAATAATCATGCATGAAGAAAGGAAAAAAAAATCATTAAAAAGACAGAGAGGAAGGAAAAGACCAAAATGAATGTCAGAAAAGACTCAGAAAATTAGTCTTGGGTGCAAAGTAACTGAAGCAATTAGGAAAAATGATGAAGTAAAAGAGATGAACAGAAAATTTCAAAGGCCAGCTTGAGAAGCCAAAATATTATAATGAAATGTGCAAAGACTTGGGATTAGAAAACCAAAAGGGAGGAAAACATTCAACATTTCTCAAGCTGAAAGAATTAAAGAAATAATTCAAGCCTCAAATCACAGTACTGTACATTCTACAGGCAAAAAAAATTGAACACAAAAAGCAACAAAAGAAGACTTTATTTAATTGGTCTATATTCAACCATTTCTAGAGGTAGCATATAATCAATAACTAGTGTTATTTATTGAAGGAAAAAGTTCAAGCTGCACTGAAGGCAATGGTGAAAAATAAGGATCCAGGAATTTAAACAATATCAATTGAGATGTTTGAACAAACTAATGCAATGATGAAAGCACTCATTCCTCTATGCTAAGAAATTTGGAAGACAGTTACCTGGCCTACCAATTGGAAGAGATCCATATTTCTGCTCATTCCCAAGAAAAGAGATCATACAGAATATAGAAATTATTGAACAATAACACTAATATCACATGCAAGTAAAATTTTGCTGAAAATAATTAAAGCACAGTGCAGCAGTACATCAACAGGGAAATTTCAATCTGGATTTAGAAGGAAGACATGCAAACAGAAACGTCATTGCTGATGTCAGATAGATATCGGCGGAAAGCAAGAATACCAGAAAGATATCTACCTATGTTTCATTGACTATGCAAAGACATTCAGCTCTGTGGATCATAACAAATTATGGGTAACATAGCAAAGAATGGTAATTCCAGAACACTTAATTGTGGTCTTCTACAAACTGTATATAGACCAAGAGGCAGTCATTCAAACAGAACAAGGGAATATTATGAGGTTTAAAATCAGAAAGTGTGTGCATCAGGATTGTGTCCCTTCACCACACTTATTCAATCTGTACACTGAGCAAATAATCCAAGACATTGGACTATATGAAAAAGAACTCAGCATCTCAATTGGAGGAAGACTAATTAACAACCTGTAATATGCAGATGATACAACTTTGCTTGCTGAAATTGAGGATGACTTGAAGCACTTGCAGATGAAGATTAAAGACTACAGTCTGCAGTATGGATTGCACCTCAACATAAAGAAAACAAAAATCCTCGCAAGTGGTCCAATAAACAGCTTCATGATGGATGGAAAAAAGATTGAAGCTGTCAAGCATTTCATATTACTTGGCTCTACAATCAACACCAATGGAAGCAACTGTCAAGACATCAGACAATATATTGCATTGGGTCAATCTGCTACAAAGGATCTCTTTCAAGTGATGAAGAACAAAGATGTCTCCTTGAAGACAAAGTTGAGCCAAACCCAAGCCATATTTTCAATTGCTTCTTATGCATGTGAGAGCAATGAATAAGGAAGATTGAAGAAAAGTCGATGCTTTTGAATTGTGTTGTTGGAGAAGAATGGTAAGAGTACCATGGTCTGCTAAAAGGACTAAAAATCTGTCCTGGAAGAAGTGAACTGGAATGCCCCTTGGAAGTGAGAATGGCCAGACTTCGTCTCACCCATTTTGGTCATGTTGTCAGAAGGGACCATTCCTTGGAGAAAGATATCATGCTTGGTAGGGTGGAGGGTCAAGGAAAGAGGAGGAGGCCTTCAACAAGATGGATTGACATGGTGGCTGCGATGATGGACTCAAGTATACCAGGGATCATGGAGCTGGCGCGGGATCAGGCAGTGTTTTGTTCTGCTGTGCATGGGGTCACTAAGAGTCGGAAATGACTCGACGGCACCTAACAACAACAACAAACATTTTTTAGAAACAACTACCAATTGCTCCTATAGCTACACAGCTCATTTCTTGTCTTCTCCCTCTCCCTTTTTCTCTCTCTGTTTTTTTAACAAGCACATACTCATTGCTCTAAGCCTGCACTACTTATTTAGCATCCTATCCTCAACTTTCTATCAAATTACTGCTATTGCAGAGTTTCCATTTTTTTGTGACTTAACCAGAAGTTTGGTGGTTCAAACCCATCAGCCACTTCTCAGAAGGAAGATTGGCCAGTCTACTTCCATAGTGATACTGCCTCCAAAACCCAAGGATAGGTCACTATGAGTTGGAGACAACTCAACAGCACATAACAACAACAACAACTCTATTTCTACTATAATGTGCCAATGGAAATAACTCACACACACACTCACACACATATGTATATGATGCATGCAGCATGTGTTGTTCATGTAAAAATATCGTACTTTCTCCCACTTGGTCAAGCTTTAATTAAGTTGGCTGTTTCAAGCCTGGTCTGACTTTGTCTTGCCAAGTGGCAAATTTTCACTCTCTCTATAGTAATACTTTGGAAGTATCATTTGCATGGTGAGGCTGGAAGACCTCTCCTGAAGCTATAGTAGTGTAACATTCCAACTATTATTGCTTACATACCATGTTTATTTGAATTTATTGAAGGAATACTGTCAGAGATTTTTGTGAGTAAGGTAGGGTAGTCAGTTTTGTGGAACTGACCCATGTTCTCCTGCAGAGGAGGTACCTGAAGTTTCCTTCATATCCTCCTCAAGCTATAACTGGCTTTTCTGCTGCTGTTTCTGTGACATCCTGAGTGCATTGTGTTTTTCAATATGAAAGCTAGCTCCATTGTGTGCTGTGTGGTAAAGGGCCGATGGTCAATGGGCATAAATTGGGTGGATATTCCAGGATATTCTATATGTACTGTCTTTATCTTATATAATAAACATTCTTCCCCCACAGAGCCCTGCAAAGAAGATAATTTTCACTGTGAAACTGGAGAGTGTATTCCACTGGTGAATCTCTGTGACAGTTATCCACACTGTAAGGATGGCTCAGATGAAGCACATTGTGGTATGTCTTGTTTATCACTTTAGCACGTTGTTGTTGTTGTTGTTGTTATGTGTGGTGGAGTCAGACACGACTCATAGCAACCCCTCCTTGGGTTCCGAGGCACTATCACTGAGGAAGTAGATTGCCCAACCTTCCTTCTGAGGAGTGGCTGGTGGGTTTGAACTGCCAGACTTCTGGTTAGCAGTCATGTGCCTTAGACACTGTGCTGCCAAAGCTCCCCACTTTAGCATATACATTTGGATTCTGAGAATGTTTTATTGTCATGCCATGTTTTATTGTTTTTGTTTTGTTGTTGTTAAGAATATACATATCAAAACATACACCACTTCAGCAATTTCTAGATGTACAATTCAGTGACATTGATTACGTTCTCTGAGTTGTATATCTATTCTCACCTTTCTTTTCTGAGTTGTTCCTCCTCCATTAACATAAATTCACTGCTCCCTAAATATTTTATCTGATTTTTCTAGTTGCTATTGTCACTTTGGGAGCCCTGGTAGCATAGTGCCAAGGCACTTGACTGCTAACCAGGAGGCTGGCGGTTCAAACCCACCAGCCACTCCTCGGAAGGAAGGTCGGGCAATCCTACTTCTGTAGTGATAACTGCCTCGGAAACCCAAGGAGGGGTCGCTAGGAGTCGGGGCCGACTCGATGGCAAATAACAACATTGTCACTTTGATACCATGTAGAGAGTTCTTAAAAGAGCATACTGTTCAAGGCAGATATTTTTTACTAGTTAACCTAGACTATTGTTTGGTTTTAGGAAGTCTTTAGAGGATAATTTTGATTTACAGTTTAAAGATCATCTCAGGGCAACAGTTTCAGGGATTCCTTCAGCCCTCAAAGCTCCAGGTCATATTTTGATGCTGTTGGACACTAGTATCTCCCAGTATTTTCAGGGCTTCTGTCCTCACTCCAGTTAGGAGAAAGGTTAACAACAAGGCTTCAGTGTTATTTGTTTAATTTAGCTTTAGTTGATTTACTTTAAGTATTAACTGTAAGAATAGGATAACCTACATTCAGGTAGAGTGTGTAAAAAACCATAGAAAGTACAAATTATGCACTCTAGTAACACTTTTATTGACTATGATACTCAGGACTACGATACTCAGGACTATAATACTCAGGACATTCCCATAAAAGAGACATCCTCATGCTGTTTTTTCATAACTGCTTGGATTTGGTTCATCGCATTCTTGATTCTAGAATGTTTACTACTCCTTCTGCCTTGCTGAGTTTCAATCTAACCCCTTTCGAGATTTTGTATAACATTGTGGTTACTTTTATTAAGTCATATTTTTATTTTTAAATGAAATATTTTTATAAGTAACATAACTATAATTTTTAATTTAAAGAAAATATTAAAGCAAAAATTTAAATCTTATTTACTGTGTGTCAGGTACTATGACTACCAGTAGCTTTAAAATGAGAAAAAAAAAAAAGAAAAGGTGCCCTGGAGTTGGTTCCAACTCATGGTGACCCTGTGGGACAATGTAGAACTGCCCTATAAGGTTCCCAAGTCTGTAATCTTTACAGAAGTAGACTGCCTCCACTTTCTCTTACTAATGGCTGTTGGATTTGAACTTCTAACCTGTTGGATAGTAGCCAAGTATTTTAAACACTGTGCCACTAGGGGTCCATCAAGCACTTTAAATAATCCCATAGTTTGCAGTAGTTGTAGTTAAGCTATATACAGTTATAATATGGTGTTTGAAGGTAAGACTACCATTGCTAATGTTTTACCTGCTTGGTAAAGCAATTTAGCTTGGATCAATTCCTACGTAGCCATCTTCATACTAATATACTTAACACTCTATACAAAGTAGCATGGGATATTAGGGAGCCTGATGGATACCAAACAGCAAAAGATAGAATTAAAAAAAAAAAAAAAAACTCCTAGAGAAGAAAGTAGAAAAAAATTGCCTAAAGTTATTCCTAAACCTGAGTTTTTCTTCTTTTAGAGAGTAAGTTAATAAAGCATGCTCTTCAGGAATGGCCTTATATATATTATGTTCATGTGCTTCATTCGTATGCACTTTACTTAACTCTTGCCATTTGTATAGTCATATGAAAGAGCAAAAATAAGTTCACCAAATTTGTATTTTTCTACTTAGGCTTTCCTAAGTAAAAAATCTTAAGAAAATACTACAATCAATTTCTAAACTCTGAATGTTCAGAATGTTTAGTTTATAGGCCATCATTTACTCTTATCAATTTATGTTGAAGTGACCTGTTTGTAATCTAATCTTTTTTAGTACGTCTTTTCAATGGCACAATGAACCACAAAGGCTTGGTGCAGTTTAGAATCCAGAGCATGTGGTATGTAGCTTGTGCTGAAAACTGGACCACCCAGATTTCAAATGATGTTTGTCAGCTACTGGGACTAGGGTAAGTAATTCTCTTTTAGGAGATTCTCTGGCTTTTTATTGATACCAAGTTGGACTTATTAAGAAATTTAAAATTCATTAAAGTTATGAATTCATAAAATACACAAGAAAGGAAGAAAAATTTACAGAGTAGCACTATCTTCAAAAAATCACCACTGCTAAAGAACATTTTATAATTATTATACAATTATAAATATATATAATTACATACATAAAGTATTATATTATTTTCTGCTTTTTGACATACTTATATATGAACATTTAGCCAGTCAGTAATTATTTTTCTACAGATCATCTGTGATACACCACACCAAAATACATGGTCTTTAGAGTTTGTCCTAGATTTCTAAATAACCTGGACACCTGTAGAAAAGGGAGCAAGCCAATCACTAAATGTGATTTCTCCGTGAGTATCACATCCTTCAGAGCAGGGCCTGAACGTGCTAGCACATGGAAATAAGCTTTTATTACTTACAAAAAGAAGAAACTAGACTAAAACAGACAAGTGATTCCCCCTGACTCAAAGCTTTCAGGGCCAAGATGCAAAACTTGGACATGTACCCTGATATGTACTGTAGAGAGGGACCTGAATGGTTACATGATACCCTAGTCCTCTCTGTCTTCTGAAAGTTGTCCTGGTGGAGATAGAGAATTCTTCCACGTATGTCTCCAGCCAGCATTATGGATGAGGAACTCCAAATAGACCTACATTCTGCTGGTCCTTCCAGCCAGATAGGCCTAGCTAGGTGGGCTGGACACTTAACACTACACATACTTCCACCTAGCATCATAGCTGAGGGACCATGAGGTCCCTCACTAACCTTTTTTATACCCCAAAGATCACATGACTAGGATCTATGTGACCCACTGCACAAAACACAATGTAATTTCCCAGCCCTAGGAGGAAGAAAATCAGACATCTTAATGCCACATCTGGGATTGTATCTCTTTAACACTGCTGAGATTTAAGCAAACCATTAGGCTTGCCGGAAGTGGGGAGGGGACAGTGATTTGTTCCTCCAGACCAAAGATGCTAGCAGAAGGAGGAATGGGGAAGACACAGGCACCAGGGTTGTCCAAAAGACAGTCTCCTCACATTATCATTTTTAAGAAAATGAAATACTCTTACTATGCCTATATCATAATAGACCTAACTAATCACAGAGCTACTTCAGAGAATATGCTTTCACCATATCTTTGCAACATGTTCATGATAGTTCTTTAGGAAAAGTTGTCAAAATATAATTATGATCAAAGATAAGCAAAATTTAAAGACTTTCCCAGGAAGGGTAATGCAAGTAAACAAAACTACTGCTTTCGAGTTGATTCTGACTCATAGCAACCCCCATTGGGTTTCTAAGGTTGTAAATCTTTATGGAAATAGATTACCCTGTCTTCCTTCCACAAAGTGGCTGATGGATTTGAACCACCAAACTTCTGGTCAACAGTCAAATTCCTTAGGCACTGTGCCACCAGAGTAATAAGGTTATATTATGAATTCTCCAAAACTTATTATTAACCCCCAGTCTAATGTACTATATGCTACTTCAAATATGTAAGTGTATTATATTCATTTTTTACCTCCCTATCAATCTCAAAAGTAAATAGGTGAAAACAGAAGTTAATAAGTAGTAATAGTTTACTTCTTATAAGTTAAACAGTCTGTCATCTCTAAATCACCACTCTGATATTCTGGTATTCATGAATTTGGAGATTTGGAAATTCCCAACTATATTGAGTCACATACGGTTATTGTGTCACTTATAACATTATATAAGTAACTAGTTAGCGTATTAAAATCTTAGACTAAACTATGAAATCTTTAAAAGTCAGGACCATGTCTTCTTTATCCATCGCTGTATTTCTTAGATGTAGAATAAGCCCTATCTCAATAAAATTGGTATTAAATAAATATTTATTGAAACAATGGATTCTTCATTATATATTCATTATATATTGGGGAAGGCTTTCTAGAAAATGGCCTGAGCTGAGTGGATGACAGCCTATTCCACATAACTGTGTACTATTTATTTACATGTTTTTGGCTTTTATTTTTTTTCCCCATCCACATTTTACATTCTAGTTCACTGAACTCGTTTTCTGTGAATCACAATCCTTTCACTGGAGACAGGGACAAGAACTAGATTTTTCAGCATGTGTACAACAAGTAGTACATCCTGCTTGCCTTAGATACATTATTTTGGGTGAAGGTCAGAGACTTGCTTTCTTCAGAAGTGAGTCAGATAATCTCTGCAAAGACTTTAATCACTGGGCCTAAATAGTCTCCATAGTGCCTTAGTAATTGAAAGAAAGTTATAGCCTTAATGAGAATTTGTCTAGACTGGTGCATGGTAACTGAAATAAAAGTTACTGAGTTTAAAATGATGTGTTTAGTACAGTGGAGAGTAATTTAGAACTCAATTTATTGAAAAGGCACTGTAGTCCCTCAAGATTATTTATGCAGATGGAGTATAAAACGCAATTCCCCCCAGATTCTAGTAAATCGTATGAGGCAGATTTCATCAGCCTTTGCTTTTTTAAATTAAACATTTTCATTGCCTGCCATTTATAGCATGCATAAGTAAAAAGTACTTTGAATAACATTTTCATGTCTCTGATCAAAGTATGAAAGAAAATGTTTTATCCTGATCCAAGGATAAATGTTAAAGAAACTTAGAATAGTGACTTTTTAATGTTATTTCCTGGGAAAGAATACTACATGGTTTCTAACCCAATATATGAACTATGAAAGTTAATTTGCTTTGCTAACCATTAAATACTAGTAGAAATCATCAGCTCTGTAAAACTTAACAGCACTTAGGAAATATTACCAAAATGTATTAAAAATAAGACTAATTATTTGTATCCCTACCAGATAGACTATTAGGGGTTGGTATTCATTTCTAAATGCTACAATAGTCCTTTTCAAGACAACTTAAGTTCAAATATCAGAAAAATCACTTTACGTTGAACCTCTCATTCTGAAGCACAAATAAGAAGTGGAATTGCTAAAACACTCACTCATTTCAGATGTGTTTTATAAACACTGAGGAAGTAATTTTTGAAGAGAACTTAAAGATTGAAATTTCCTATGTAAGTACACACAAATTTGTATTCACAATTTTAGCATCAGTTCCTAGAATATGGAATATAGAACTTATGCTGCATAGATCTAGATTAAGAAGTTAGCGGATAAATAAAAGCTTTTGTTCTTGTCCATACTTCTGTCAGTCTGATTATGTGAAGGAAACCTTAACTCATTACAAGTCAGAACACAAAGCAACAAAAAAGACAAATTATGGGAACTAGTAGAAAGAACACTACCAATTTTGACCCTAAATAGTTTCTTTATATTTGCTAACTTTATACTGTTGTTGTTATGTGCCATCAAGTCAGACCTGACTCATAACAACCCCTCCTTGGGTTTCCAAGGTGGTATCACTATGGAAATAGATTGCCCAATCTTCCTTATGAGGAGTGGCTGGTAGGTTTGAACTGCCAGCCTTCCGGTAAGCAATTAAGTGCCTTAGGCACTACACTACCAGAGTTCCTTATGTATATATAATATGTATATATATATAATGTATATATATATATATGTATATGTGTGTGTGTGTGTGTGTGTGTGTGTGTATATATATATATATATATATATATATATATAAAATATTGAATTATTTACCAAGTTGAAACTTAAGACAATTAAAAGAAGTCTAAAACTTTCCTTCTAAGGAGTGGCTGGTGAGTTTGAACCACCAGCTTTCTGGTTGGCACTTAGGCACTACACTACCAGAGCTCCCTATAGATCCCTATATGATTCTTATATACATTTATGTATTCTGAGTCAGTATAAAGAGCTCTGGTGGTATAGTGGCTAAGATTTTTGGCTGCTAACAAAAAGGTTCATCGTTCAAACCCATCAGGCCCTCCATGGAAGGAAGATGTGATAATCTGTTTCCATAAGGATTTATAGCCTTGGAAACCCAGTGGGGGTAGCTGTGAGTGGGAATGACTGGATGGCAGTGAGTTTGGTTTGTATAGTTTCAATCAGTATATCTGGAATAATGAGCTCTGGTGGTTCAATGGTTAAAGCATTCCCTTGCTAACCAAAAGATTGGCAGTTCAACCTCATGAGCCTTCTACAAGAGAAAGGTATAGCAGTCTGCTTTTGTAAAGGTTTTGAGCCTCAGAAACTATACGGGAAGGGCAGTCTATTCTGTACTCCATGGTCCCCATGGGTCAGAATTGGCTCTGCACCAATGTGTTTGTATCTTGGATAGAAATGCAAATTACCAGCAGGGAGTTGATCCAGTCTTTTCAGGTGATTCTGATGCATGCTAGTGTCTGAGAACCATTATTCTATGATTGGTGTTTGAAATCTTTTCTTGTTGTTCTTGTTGTTGTTGTTTTGCCGTGGAGTTGGCCCCGACTCATAGCGACCTCTCCTTGGGTTTTCGAGGCAGTTATCACTATGGAAGTAGGATTGCCCAACCTTCCTTCTGAGGAGTGGCTGGTGGGTTTGAACCGTTGTAGGTCATGCATAATTTTGGCAGTCTGGTTAAATACATCAACCATTTCCCAGGTTTGAATTTTCAATAAAAAAGGAAAATATTCATGGTTACAAGGAAAATTAATTACAGTGAAATTTCAATATATTAAAAATAATATGGCAATACACATATTTTTTTAAGTATTAAATGAGATGTACTGGTAGTTCTAATGATCACCATAATATAAATGATGAATGTAAATTATATTTTCTATGCAGCAACTGCTATTTGATACAGGGTATCTGCAGTTTGGTTTAGTGACAAAAATTATAGGTAACTATTAATATTGTATAGGACCTCTGGTAGCATAGTGCCTAAGGCACTTAACTGCTAACCAGAACCCTGGCAGTTCAAATCCACCAGCCACTCCTCGGAAGGAAGGTTAGGCAATCTACTTCTGTAGTGATACTGCCTCAGAAACCCAAGGAGGAGTCGCTATGAGTTGGGGCCA